TCTACATTTCCTAAATAGTGATTGGAGAACCTTTTGATTCAGTATATGCCTCGTCTTTAGACTACAGTCCATTGCTTAAGACTATATCAGAAGACCTGTATACTGTCCTTGTGTTGCAGAGTTGTTTGTAAGAAAAATGTCTGCCAGGTCTCTGCCAAATGTCTTTTCAGAAACCCCAAGTGTATTATTAACAGTGTATTAGCAGGGCTGCTTTCCATCAGGGAGGTGGCAGGCATGGGTTCCCCTGCCTACGAGAGTTTCTTTAGAAGTTTCTGTGGACAGCTGATTGGTTGGCAGCAAGTGTTCCCCAGTCCTGCTCTATTTTTCATTTTGGAAGTGTCATCCGGGATTCATATTACTGCACTTTTATAGAAGACAGGAAGACTTTTCATTTGCACTGGCGGAAGTTTTTTCTTTTTCATCTGTGGCTCTACAGTATCATAAATGAATTAATTCTCTATCTGCCTTTAGAGTTGTTTGAGTTGGGCCAATGAAATGCTATTTCTTGCACATGGCTTTTTATAACCTAAGGCAAATTCCTGCTGCTTCTAAACACCCCCCTTCCCTCCTACCATCCAAGTTCCCCTTTAAAGGGAACCTTAACCTTTTATTTTGTAACTGTGGGGTTGATTTACTAAAACTGGAAAGTGCAAAATCTGGTGCAGATCTGCATGGTAACCAATCAGCTTCTAACATCAGCTTGTTCAATTAAGCTTTGGCAATAAAACCTGGAAGCTGATTGATTTCTTTGAAGAATTGCACCATATTTGGCACTCTCCAGTTTTAGTAAATCAACCCCACTGTGTTATCACGCTGCCAGCCATGAAAATGTGCCATCAAAATTGCCTCCCGGGACACAGCTTTTCTGAGAAATTTTTAATCTAAGTTTTGGTGTTCATCTCATTAACCACCTCCTGTTGTATATAAACGTCCGGATGGTGGCAGTGCAGGGTCGGGTGGCCGTTTAGAAACGGCCTCCCCGCCCCCTGCTTGTGCGCGCTTCCTGGAAGCGCGCAGCACCGCGTTCCAGTGCCCGCTGTGTCCTCCGGACACAGTGGAACACCGATCGATCGTCGTATGGGACCTCTGTGCGAGATCCCAATCATGTGATCACTGATTGGCCAATCAGTGATCACATGCAGAGTAGTAAGCAAGATGTCACTTCTGACATTGCTTACTACATGTGAAATCTGTGAATGATCACAGAGGTCACATGGTACAAGGCTATTCACAACAGCCTTGTACCATGTGACAAGCTGTGACCAATCACAGCTCACACAGTTCTCAATGGCTGCAAGAATGCAGACAGAGATAAGGAGAAATGATTGCTTTTACATCCTTTATGGGTGTAAAAGCAATCAGTGTAAAAAAAAAAAAAAAAAAAAAAAAAAAAAAAAACCACCATGGTGACACTGTACTGCTAGGGTGACAGTATGTAAAAAAAAACAAAACCCACTAATATAAAAAAATGTTTAAAAATTATAATTTTTGGTTATAAACTAATTTGTTTTTTGTTTTTTTTTACTAAAAAGATAATGGAATACATTTTGGCCAAGATTTATGATGAAATATTATTTATTTGCAAAATTTTATAAGAAAAACACTTTTTTTTTCAAAATGTTTGGACTTTTCATTTACATAGCAAAAATAAAAATCCCAGTGGTGAATAAATACCACCAAAATAAAGCTTTATCTGTCTAAAAAAAGCTAAAAAATTCATATGGGTACAGTGTTGCATGACTGCGTGTCGCAGTCCACCCGCACGCCACACCCACAGCGACTAGCTAATCAAGCGCGCACATGCAGCAGTGACTTGGGGTAAGAGGGAATAAGGGGGACTTAACTTTGAATATATAAAACATGATGCACTTTCACAGCCTGCACTACCTTTTGGCCACCACTGGAGGGAGACTCCACTCCAATCCAGCTGGCCGACCACACAAGGGCAGACAGAAATCTTACATACAATCTGGTGCATTAATTAGAATTGAGGAGCAGCCTAGCAATTGCACACCCTTCTAGGGTTCCTCCAGCTATCCTCCAAGCTAGAACCCAGGTGTTAATCACTCTTCCACTGTCCACACACCCCCACACCAGACACACCACAAACGGTAGCTTGCCACCACCCAACAGATTATCCGCAGAACGGTCTGGAACACCACACACACACACAGATCTCCGTCTGGCAGACCTGTCACCCTTACAATCTGCACGCAATCTGCCAACACACAGTGCAATTGCATACAGATAGGCAATGAACTTGACCAAGCATTTAAAGACACTAAAATACAATACAATCTAATCTCTCTGGAGATATGAGCTCACTTAAGTACACAGAAGTCACTTATTAATTTTGAGATTTAATATCCCGAAAGTGGGCAGTGCATAAAATATGTACAAGGTATAAAAAGTTACAGGAAATACAAGAAGACACAATTGGCTATTGACTATAAAATAAAAGGGAATAAATAACAGAAAATAAAACGTTTACCAAGATTTATCCTGTGACTGGAGCAAGTCAGAGAAAGTCCGCGATCCGTCAGTCAATAAGGACTGGCTCCATACGAATCACAACGTCCATGTCCCAGGGTCCTCAATTTATAAGAATATGGATGTGGGCTGGACATGAGTTCTTGGCCAATTGACTCTGGGGGGTGTTCCTGTACCCGCCCACAGGATGTTCTGGGTCCTGAAATGCCCAAAGTCGAATGGACCAGGAACGGTTTGAATCACCAAGTCAGGGATTGAATTTCCGACACCAGCGCATCAGTTCGATCGTGACAGTACCAATCGCTGTTCAGCTGTCACGATCCGGCGCCACATTACCATTTCCTGCATTTTTCTGGCATTCTACATAGGCCACAAATAGTTTTTACATGCAGATGTAGCCCATAGAGTGTCCAATCAGAAGGAAGTATTTTCATCTCTCTGCAACTAATATTTTAGCTTTTAAGAGAGATGAAACATATTCCTTTGATCCACTGATATATTTCAAAGCTCTGTTCTCCTGCTGTGTCATGAAGCCAACCTGTCTCCAGCTGTTTCCTTCCAGGGTTCCCAGAAGGTGACAAATCTTATTGGCACCCAGGTGTCACTTCCAGCCTGAGGAAGCTGCTCTGTCTTTTCAGATGCTAATGGGTGAGCACAGGTCTCCAAATACCCATGACTGAATATATGACTGAATACATCTTTAATAACAAGGAATGAGCTAAATTTACGATTACATATTGCTACAGGACACATCTCAGCTACTCCTATCTGTGCATTTATGTCACACCGCGCAATTGTGATAGCACTGAAAGCTGAAAATTGGCCTGGACAGGAAGGGGGTAAAAGTGTCCGGACTTGAAATGGTTAATTTGACTGTTCCATTTGCTTCATACCAATTTTCTAAAACCTTTTGAATATGTGTCTGTAGATACTTAGACCATGTTCCCAGATTCTGAACTTCAGGCTTTGTGGTTCTTGAAGAGGGAGGTTGCAGAGCATCATGTGACAAAGGGGCTGTCGTCCCACCACAGATCACTGTGAACAGTCTGTTGAATCTACCAGCAGTCGGAACGATTGCAATTTTTGCAGTTTGTGCCGTTTTCTGAAAAGCCGTTGGCTGATTTTAACTTGTTACCTGGACGTTGATGCTATTTTCTTTCCCGAGACCACAGGTTGCAGGAAAGAAAGTCGCTTGATTGCCCCATCAACAGTCTGTATTGATGGGGGAATTATTCCCATGGAGCTGCTCTCCCATTGGGGAGCTGTCCCTGTCCTGATTAATGCTAGTGGCTATAGCCACAGGGAGTGATTGCATGCTAAAAAAAAAATCTGACAGATTGGTTGTACCCAAGTCAATCAATGGACAGTCTTGGGTTCTTTCAGCCTTGCAGCTGCAATCTACTGTATTTGCAGGCTCAAATGCAAAATTAATGTGCATTGTTTTTTGCAAAATAAGTGCATTTATTAACTTTTGCAGCATTGCAGCTGCAATCTACTGTATTTGCAGGCTCAAATGCAAAATTAATGTGCATTGTTTTTTGCAAAATAAGTGCATTTATTAACTTTTGCAACTTATGGAATGCTCCTATAAGTATACAGAAGGTAGTTTTTGTGTTTTTTGTTTTTTTTTAAAGTAAATTATGGTTTGTTTTTTTGACACAAACTATATACAAAAAGCTTCCCAAATACACAATTTTAATCTAAAATTACAAAAAAAAAATTTCCCCTTTCCAAGGCATAAAAACGGCAACATTTTTAGATTTGTGACAAATTTCTGTATCTGGCTTTAATAACCAAAGTCAAGACAAGTAGAAAGCCATTTATTAAGATGGACTGCCTTATAAGGACATAACTGCCTAAAGGTTTACATGGTTTTAACATTTGTTTAAGTTTGGCATTTTTGTCCTAATAGTGACTGCAGACAGACATTCAACCTGTAGAAACTCTTGCATTATGTTTTAATGTTTCTTGCAATCAGTTTTTTTTTTTTTTTTTATTTCCATTTTCTGGAAACTTGTCTGACGTATGCCTGTTGCATACTAGAAAAGAGAGAGGTTTCTTGTAGTGCAGAGACACGTATGTGTCTGACTAGTTGTACCAGCTCTTCGACAACAGCAAAAAGGTTGCCTGGATATTTGACCACAGGCCATTTTTATTGCACTATTTCTGTGTCCGGGATTAACGGACAGTGAAATACAAGCCAGTATGGAGATTGTACAGTTAATGGAATGTTTAGACTTGTGACTTTGAATCTTTAATTTTAAGCCTTGGATAACCCCAGTCCTTGTATCTGTTAGTTGCCTTGGCAGTTCCTAAAACTTAATTTTAATTTTTTTTTTTTTTAAACGTGTTTTAAGGCCAACAATTCAAAGTACTGTTTATCAGTGCTCCACATTTTGTAACCTCAGTGCAATATGAACACAACTGCCCTAGTCTCTCTTACTCAGTAGCGTTGTTTTACCTGCAAGTTTTATGAAATAATTTTAACTTGATTTTGTTTTTGTCTTCAGGTTGATATTGACTTGTGTGACCCCAACCCTTGCCAGAATAAAGCCCTATGCTACAACTTGGGTGGAGATTATTACTGTGCATGCTCTGACGATTACGATGGAAAGAACTGTTCTCATCTTAAAGATCACTGCAAAGATGGATCATGCAAAGGTGAGTGGAGGCAGTTCTTGCATTTTATATACACATGCTATATAATTTTCTGGTCTTATGAAATTTCAGTGTATATCGAAAAAACACACACATCGGTCTCATGCTGCATCTGTCCCCCTGGCTCAAACCCAGAACTTGAACGATCAGAGAACACTGATCACTCAGTTCACGGTCTTCAGTGAGCGGAGAATGATGACTGTCAACCACCGGCTCTCTGCTGTGTCCCTCCAGCGCTCCCTGGAGCCATGGGCTGTGGAGGGGGCACAAGTGGCTCAAGAGCTTTGGCCCTACTTCTCCTCTAAGTGTCACCATCTGTAATTTATAGTGAATTCCTATTATCCCCTGTAAACTAGCTGACATTTCAGATTAGGGTTGTAGTTGCTGCACTTGGGAGAAGAGCAGAGGCACATGGATAGAGTGGTAGGCATAATTCCTAGACATGCATTGGAGATTTTTAATGCACTGTATGGAAAGATGTTGGCAGCGTATCAGAGCTGGCTTATTTCAGGAGGCATGGTTGTGACCCAAAGTAGAACCCTAATTTTTTTAGTTATTGGTTAAGTAGGAAAGCTTTAGAAGGCCTTATCAAGTTTAACATCTGATCTTAAGAGATCCACTTTCTATTTGGTGACCACTGTCAGCAGAATAGAACTTTGGGGGATATTGAACATTTTTATTGATGTCATTGATACAAAAGGAGAGGGAGAAGCTCAATAGGAACACCTGCTCTGGTGAGAACTGTCAAAGGTATAGTTTCTTCTTTCATCTCATTTCCTCTTATTTCTGTGGGACAAGAAGTAAGCAAAGATAGCCCAATGGGAACCCAACAGATTCTCCGCTTTCACTGCTCTGGCTAAAAATGGCAAGTGTTACTTTTAGGGCTCGTTCATACTAGTGGTTGGGGGCTGTAAAACCCTGCGATTGAGCCATTTTTTTTTTTATGCCTCCAACCCTCAACTGCTACCTCCTCTTAGTGAAAGAGACAGAACGGCAGACAGGTTCTGAAGGGCTCGTTCAAAGTTTTGTTAATTAGAAACTCGACCGAATATGATGCCAGTTATAACATTCTATTTAATTTTGGACAGATTCTAAATGTTTCCTGCTCTGTCATGTTTTTGCCATCTGCCCTGATTACATTCCCCCAAGAAATCTCTTGAAAGGATACACACAGAGGACATTTTTAGTAGCGTGAGGAAGGGTTAGAATTTTTGTACCAGTGTCAGAGAAGAGGAAAAAGCTCTATTCAACAGGGCAGACAAACCAAGATCTGATAACTTTTTACAAAACTTAAATGGTCGGCATTAGGATTTAGATTTTTTTTTTTTTTTGTATTCCTTCTCTGGTTCAGCTTAAATGTGATGTGTTGAGGAGTAGTTTTTCACATACAGGAACACGTATTCAGATTTCTGTGTTTCTAAGTAGGAACCTCTTAGCCAGGTCAGGTCTATATTTGTAGATGCATGCAGAGAAAACAGGGCTGCAAACTGCTGTGCTGAATGCACTGCACAAATGTTAGTGGCGTTTCTATTTCAGTTTGAAGTGGAGAACTCCCGTCTTGTGGGTTTCTTTGTCAGCACACCCTTTTGCAGCTGATGGTGAGCGTCTTGGTATCATTAATACGTCCTTTTTTATTTTTAGTCATAGACAGCTGTACAATAGCGATTTCTACTAATGCCACCCAGGAAGGTATCCGTTACATCTCTTCCAATGTCTGCGGGCCTCACGGACGCTGCATTAGTCTGCCTGGAGGGAATTTCACCTGTTCCTGCAATCGAGGCTTCACTGGGGCTTATTGCCATGAGAGTAAGTCTTGTGAACTGTTGTATGTGCTTTCTGTATAGTGTTGTCTCATGATGAATTGTGTTTATTGCTACATTTAAAAAAAATTAAAACTTTAAAAGCACTTATGTTTGCAAAAATGGGAGAATCTCTTATGACAAATGGGATTGTCATGGTTAACTCCTGGGGGAAAAAGAGCATTCAGAAGCATCCGGTTTCAAATCTCTGGCATGGGGAAGAGTGTCATCTATCTTCTGAGCATGCGAAGGAGATCCATTGACCTGGAATCTGTTATGCACCATCAGACTATGCATAATGGTGCAACCAGTTCTGGTAGAAGAAAACGGTTTTCTTCTGTGTAATAAACCATTTATCTCAATATATTTTAAGCTAGTGGAGATTGGAAATTCTTGGCATTTTCTCTGATCTTCCCTCCTTTTTGACTTAAGTTTAGAGACTGAAAGTATTGGATTAGCTGTCATTTACCCAAAAACATTAATGTGATTTATTAAAATGTCTTCATGGGAGTGTTTCTGGTTAGTTCTACAAAGTTTTAAAGGGTCAGTCAACCCTGAAGTGATATTGTTGTCATAGGTAATATCTAGTAAGCAGACTCAGCCCTTTTGGTGTCTTGTAGGTTTCCCTACAGTAGAATTTGAAGTAAATCTAAAAATCCAACAGGTAGAGTGGGAAACCTCATAATGACCACAAAAGATGGCCAGGAGCTAAAGTGCATCCAAAGCTGAAACCTGATATTTATGTGGTTGGTTTCCCTTTTTGGAAGCTTTTCCTTCTGGTTGCAGAGACACATGTGAGAGGGCATTTCTCCAAACTTAGAGGAATTTCCCCCTTACACAATGTCGCTGGAATAGGTGTTCCCATAGAGAGATTTTCCTAGACCTCCTCTTCCAGGGACCACTAAAAAATTTTGTATGCATTTTTCGTATATTTTTTAATTATATCCCAGGGACACTGGTCAGATCAAATAGGAAGAATCTCTCCAGTGGGGGGCACAGTCAGTGATTTAAGAAATACAATAAGGGTTCTTTCCCTTCCCAGTGTATCCAAAACAAAGAATTTGGACTTTAGATGCCATTTAAGAGCAGAGATCTCACCAATTGAGTCCTTGAGTGAGAGAAATTGTCAAGTGGCTTAACTCTGAAATCTGAAATGTCTTAAACATTTTATCCTCTATTTTTAGACATAAATGACTGTCTTGGGAATCCCTGCAAGAACGGTGGTACTTGTACTGATGAAATTGACTCCTTTAAGTGTTTTTGTCCAAACGGTTGGGGTGGCGAGTTCTGTGGCATAAGTAAGTCAGTGTTCAATTTTTTGATGACATGATGTGAACAGTCTGTTTTCTAGTTTACGATGTAACTTGCGTGTTTTAGTTGGTAGCTGTTTGTGAGTATTAATAGTTTTTCTTGAGCCTTTTTATGAGTTTTTTTGTAATATGTTTATATTTTTGGCTAGATTACAACGACTGTAACCCAAATCCATGTCAGAATGGTGGTCGGTGCATTGACCTGGTCAATGATTTTGTTTGCCAGTGTGAGAATGGATGGAAAGGCAAAACTTGTCACTCTCGTAAGTAGAATACTTTTTTACTTTAATATAAAAGCAAAAATTAATTTGATATTGGTAGTGAAACTTTTTTTTAATGGGAGCCTTCTTTAAAGTGTATTTAAACCCCAAAACAAATGTAATATAATGCAGCTTACCAGTCCTTCGATGTAGTGGCTGCATTCCTTTTCTGCTTGAAGGCTAAAAAACATTTATAGCAAGTACAAAAATGCCTGTTTCTCTTGCCAGAAATGCAGTGTAGTGCTTTACACATTTTTCAGGTATCTGTCACTGACATATATACATTTTCACAGGTGAATATCAATGTGATTCAAATACTTGCAGTAACGGGGGTACATGCTACGATACCGGAGACACCTTTCGCTGCCTGTGCACTTCAGGATGGGAAGGAGCCACTTGTAATATTGGTAAGAAGAATTATTGTGATTTCCAGGTGCGGGTATTTGAAATGAAGCTTTTGGTACTGTTGCTACAACACATTGTAGACTTTTGCTGTGGGGGATGGTGGTAGGTAGTGTGGTCACTACAAGAGACCTCTTTCACTGATAGAAACTCTATCACTTGGTTACGTCTTAGACTGGATTCACAGCTCTGTGTTACAATAGCATGTACTGTAGTGCCATTCGTTCACTCATTCTGAATGGCACCCCTATGCACCTTACCAATGCACATCATTTTTGTGTAGCTAAAAGGGGTGCATGTTTCTGTTTTGTCTGTTGTGGTGCATTGGCAGGAACAGCCTTAAACGTGTAAAGTGCAATTTTGTGAACTAGAATTGGTTTACTAATTTTCATATTGTGGCTTGACAGTTGCTACTTCTGTTCCTCTTAAAGCTGGTGCAATTTTTTCATGATCATGACTATTTATAACGGAGGGTGGATTCTGCTATGCTATCGCCACTGAACACCGTAGAGTTCACTCCACACTGTGCCTGCATGTTATGCTTCATTCATACAATGTTGGCCATGATGCGAAGACTGTAGTATCCCATTGACTGTGTTCTGCATAATGCTGCAGAGAAGACTGTGACAGGAGAATCTGGTCACATGAATACCACTAAAATGCCGCAAAAGTCTCCATATTGTGAATGTTTGTACACAAGCATAACCATTGATGCTGAGATTCTTTTATTTAAAAGTGAAACTGTGGTTATGATCAACAGCTACTACAGTACTTATCCGTTTGCTCCAACGTGAGACTTGTGCATTTTGTGTTTGAGTAGCTGTTGGTGTGTGTTTTGTATTTTCTGTGTACATATTGCATTGAATGAATGGTGTCTCATCTTTTACCCTGGCTTATCTGCTTATGGTGATTTTCTTGGTACAGATCTAGATTGTGAGTGTATGGGATAGGTTTATAAGCCAAATATAAGCACATTTTTTCCTTTTGCTTCAAAAATGAATTGCCATTCTGAGTGTGAGATCCTCAGTGTTCAATGAACTTTAGTAACAAATGTAGCTTTATTTTGTTTGCCTTTGTTGCAATGCATCATTTTTTTTTTTTGTAATTGTTTTGTTACTTTCAGCTTTTACTTTTACTAATCTTATACTTAAACTGAGCTCCATCCAAAAGAGAGGAAGTTCCACTTTAAGTCTTCATCCCCCGCTCCCCGTTAAGGATTGGCACCTTTGGGGAGCAGAAGGGGGGGGGGGGGGTACCCGAATTTGACAGGTACCTGCTCCCTCTTCTGAAGTGGATGTTGTCACATCTGTGTCATGCAGTCCTACTCAGAGCTGAGCAGTCTTTACTCTGAAAGTGTGCCCAGTTCCTCTTTATCCTGCTCATGTACACGGCAGCCCCTTACGGAGTACTGTAATCATGGTGGAGTATGGCTCTATTGCTCTCAGGGACACTGGATCCACATGAAGCTGGTTTTGGACATATTTTTGTGGGATTCTCCAGTACTTGGCTTTCTCCATATGTTTATAGGTTTATTGACTTCTATTCTGATAAGCCTGTGTGTGACTGCAGAGAGTATGGAGATTAGTGTGCAAAAGACTGAACAAATCTGATGTCCTCGTAAAGTGGTGTGGAATGTCAGTGCTGTAAAACACATCCTAACTGGCAGAGAACTAAAATTGAAAATCATTTTAATGTTTGTTTTCCCGTACAGCCAAGAACAGCAGCTGCCTTCCCAACCCCTGTGCAAATGGTGGTACTTGCGTGGGCAACGGAGATTCCTTCTCTTGTATGTGTAAAGAAGGATGGGAGGGACGTACCTGCACGCAGAGTAAGCCTGTGCTTTTTTGTTCCTTTAGGATATAGGTGTGTCTCCTAACATGTTTTATCCTTTTCGTTTATTTGCCAACATATTTGACTCATTTGGGATGGGAGATGGCTGGAGGGTATGAAAAAAGAAGCTTGTGTTTATGTATTCAGAAGACCTAAGGAAGACAGATGATACACACGCATTTATATACAGCTTGAGATGTGGCCTGCTTTTCACTTTTTTTCTAGCATTCAGTAACTTCACTCAGCTTGTTCCTGAGTACTGATTTAAAGGGAACTTGTCACATTCTAAGAGGAGCAAGTGTTCTTTGGCAAATAAGTCCACCTTGCAATAGCCTCCACTGCCTGGGAAATCTGTTCTTTATACAAAGGAATTAAATTTTTTGTATTGGGTGTATAGGAATTATTTTGCCTGAATGCACAGTTTAACCAAATGCTGAAAGATCAAATAGTGTCCCTGTCCAGTAGATTTCTTTGTAATTATTATTATTATACAGTATTTATATAGCGCCAAAGGGCATGCTCAGCGCTGTACAGTAGCTAGGGTGGACAGAAAATGAGACAAGACAGTAACAATACAATACACGAGGGGTTCGAGGGCCCTGCTCTTTCGAGCTTACAATCTAGAAGGGAGGGGAAGGTGGTACAGGAGGAGATGGCTGTGGGGAATGAAGTGGTGGGAGGAGTGGAGGAGGTTAGTTGTTAGGTGAGGTCGGGTGTTAGGTGAGGTTGGGGTAGGCTTCCCTGAAGAGAAGGGTTTTCAGGGTACGCCTGAAGGTGAGGAGGGTAGGTGACAGTCTGATGGATTGGGGTAGGGAGTTCCAGAGGATGGAAGTAGTCCTGGAGAAGTCCTCGAATCAGGCATGGGAGAAGGAGACCAGGGAGCTAGAGAGTAGGACGTCCTGTGAGGAGCGGAGGGCACGGGTAGGGTAGTATTTGGGTATCAGGTCAGTTATGTAGTTCAGGGCGGCATTGTGAATGGCTTTGTAGGTCAGAGTTAGCAGTTTGAATTTGATGCGTTGGGCAATCGGGAGCCAATGAAGGGATTGGCAGAGGGGGGAGGCAGATGTGGAGCGGTTGGTGAGGTGGATAAGTCTAGCTGCTGAGTGTAGGATCGACTGGAGTGGGGATAGCGTTCGTTTGGGTAGGCAGTGAGAAGGGAATTGCAATAGTCCAGGCGTGAGATGATGAGGGAGTGTACGAGTTGTTTGGTGGTGTCTGGGGTGAGGAATGTGCGTATCTTGGAGATGTTGTGGAGGTGGAGCCTGCAAGATCTAGATAGCAGTTAGATGTGGGGTAGGAAGGAGAGGTGGGAGTCCAGGGTGACACCCAGGACTTTGGCGTGTGGGGTGGGAGAGATGGTGGCGTTGTTAGTAGTGATGGAGAGGATGGGGGGGCAAACCAGTATTTGGATGGGCTAATCCCCCAAATTCCTTCATTATGGCCATGTGGGATTGGGGTGGGGTGCAATCTATTGCAGAAAAATCTTCCTGATGGGGTCTGAGAAATCAGTGTCCCGTCCACCACGAAAGATTTTGGGTGGAGTAAAATGTTAAAATTTAACCTATGTGGATGAGGATAACTTGTGTGAGAAGCACAACTTATATGAACATTGGAATGTAAGATCCTTTGAAGGAAAAGACGAGCAGGCATTGGCTTGAGCACTAATTGCTTTACTTGGGAAGATACCGATGAATTTGTGGGCACTATCAAACAAAATAAATCTTTAATGCCAGAGTCTGAGATGTGAAAGACTAGAGTTGCATTCATGAATGTAGCTTTTTTTTTTTTTTTCCTTCAATTTTTCTACTAAATTGAAATACTGTTTGTCTACTGTATCATAAGACAGAAGGTGTAACATGGTTTATAGATCAAATATAACATGGCCAAATCAAGTAGATATCACTCCCAGTCAAATGCATCATAGATGTTTGACGTTTGTGTGTTTTTAAATGTTTTAATATTTTTTCTTTTCTATAGATACCAATGATTGCAATCCCTACCCTTGGTGAGTATATTTGACTCTTCTCATCTTGTCCATGGGTGATACTTTATTTTTCACATACTAATACATGGGGCACCCATATAAGTGAATTCTGTAATTTAAAACAAAGTACTTGCCCTTTATTAAACAATTTATGGAATAGATTCCTAACGTGCATTGGCAATAATCACCGCTAATATTTCTCTGATTATCTACCGTGTAACAGCTGTACTTTATTTTTACTTAGACTTTACAAATGTGCATATTGGGCTTAGGGAGGAATGGCACTTAAGTGACAGTCAGTAGCAGTTTGCGTGGGAGAAATGTATTCCAGCCCCATCACCTTGTCCCTGGGAATGTTCATCCTGCAGATGTCTGTTGGGGTTGGAGGAAGTGTATAGACGAAGATAATTACTGCCTTCTCCAGCCATAACCAGCTGGATTGATTCGACCTTGTCTTGTGTCTGTAGATACTTTGAACATTGGTATTGAATATGATATATTCTGGTCTGGTGCATCTGCTGGTGATTTAAAAGTTTCTTGAAGGGTGAATTCTAATTAGTAGGGTCTATATGTTGCTACATGCATGCATACTTTTGTGTTACAAGTTGGATTTTGTTAATGTTTAGTGATTTATAAAGTGCATATTTTGTCTCTACAGCTATAATGGTGGAATTTGTGTTGATGGTGTGAACTGGTTTCGCTGTGAATGCGCCCCTGGATTTGCAGGACCTGATTGCAGAATTAGTACGTGTTTTTTTTTTTTTTTTTTTTTTTTTTTTTTTTTTTTTTTTTAAATCTCCTGAGCAATTTTCTCCTATGAAATCTAGAGGATATTTAATTTTTCTTTTTAATTGCTTACTTTTAAATGGTAGCTGTATTTTACAGCAGATTATCTGCTTGAGTTGTGTGATTTATAAATTGTGTCATTTGTCCATGGTTTGTACAGAATTTTTCAAACCAGTGATATGAAAGTGGTTCTAAAGGCAGAAGGTTTTTTTTATCGTAATGCATTCTATGCATTAAAACGGTACTAAACTGCAAACAAAAGGTGGGCCCCTGCAGGATTATGTCATAATGTTAGTATACATCACATACTAGCACATTATGGCAGACTAGCCTTAAAACGAAGCCACCCAGCTCCCCTGTTTGGCTGAGCCACAATGAAGTCACTGTAATGTGACAGTGGCATTTTTTGGGGGGTCGGGGGTTTTTACTTTTACAATCACTTTTGTAAAGTACAAATTCACAGCTGCTTACTTGACTATACACACCATGACATTTGTCACATGATATCAGCTGACAGATAGAATCAGAGTTCAGAAACTGCTATTGATTTGCCAGCTCTGACCAAATATCAGTCCCCTGAACCTGTTCAGTTGAGTTCACTTGACCACACATGTACATTTTCATGTGATTGTCTGCCATAGTAACCCAGAGCAAGGTTTTCACAATGTCTGTATTTCCAGACTATTGTACTTATAATTCAGATTTGAAAAAAGTAAAGCTACAGACTGCACTCTTGGTGTAACCTGTAGGTTTACATTGTCATACTTTTTTTTTTTTTAAAGTTACAGCTGTAGTAATTTCCTTTTTGTACACCGTTCCTATTTAGAGGTAAAAGTACTTATTATGTGTATCTTGTGTTCTTTATGGACAAACAGCAGAGGAGATCAAATGGCTCAGTCTAAGCAGCTGCGTGGCACTTGAAAAAGGCCATTACCTTGTATCGCACACTTTGTACTATAAATGGAGCTGACACTGCCATGTTTGATCACGGTGTATTGTGTTGACAACTGAGCTCTGCCAAGCATGGTTTGTATTATTGTTTTTATCTATTGTAGACATCGATGAATGCCAGTCTTCCCCTTGTGCATACGGTGCCACTTGTATAGATGAAATAAACGGCTACAAGTGCACCTGCCCTTCTGGACGAGCTGGGCTGCGCTGCCAGGAAGGTAATTAGCTTGCCATATCCAGCTTAAGTGCTGGGGACTTCTGTAAGCATTTATATGGACAGTTTGGCAGCAGATCTGAACCGTCCTGTTGTCTGACATGTTTTTCATACTGCTTTTTTAGTGATTGTCTCTGGAAGATCTTGTTGGCTAAAAGGAACGCAGTACCCCCATGGAAGCAAATGGGATGAGGAATGCAATATCTGTCACTGTCTGGATGGGGTGATCGAGTGCACCATGGTATGGATCAGAAAGCTCAACCAGTTTTAATCAACCAAACTGAGCATTGATACTGCAGTGATGTAACCTTGATGTATTCTGCCACTGTATAACTTTTTATATGAAATTCCTGTGGATGTCTGCATGCTCTGTTGGCATCTAAACATCAGACTCTACAAGATGTGTACAGTGCAGGGACATAAAATATGAACAAACCTACAGAAAGCTGTGTTTTTGTTTTGGAACTAGACTCGCCAATTTTAACGGTTTAACAAAACCATTACATTCAAGGCATATAATAGTTGCTAGTGTGCTTATGTCAGCTCTCAGCCAAACGGTCAAGCCACCAAATGGCTGGTATCATCATTTATAAGTTTGTGCAGCACAATGGTAACTATAGATGAGAAGCTAAGATGGCAGTTTTCTTGACTGTGAAGGATAGATCAGTATAGTTCCGCTTTAACAAACAAAAATATCCTGTTTTAACTTGGTGCTCTACAAAACTAAATATTCTTCTTCAGCCACTTGCCGACTGCGCTATAGCCGAACGATGGCTACAGCGTGGCTCTCCAGTCCTGGGGAGCGCTCTGTGACTGCTGTCCCTTGAACATGGACGATCACAGATTGCGGTAAAGGGTCAATAGCAGTGGCCCTTTACCATGTAATCAGCTGTGTCCAATCACAGCTGGTCACATGTAAACAGACTTTCCAGTTATTGGGATTTCCTTTCCTCACGCTGTCTCTATATGAGTTAAGGAGAGACAATAACCAGTGAGTCTGACAGGGCACAGTGATTACATTACAGTGCACTGATTATATTATTGCTGCCCCGTCAGTGCCCTTCAGTTCACATCAGTGCAGGCTCATCAGTGCCCAGCAGTGAAGAAGAAAAATTTAGTTTTTATAACAGAAACCGCTTACTTTTGTTTTTCAAAATCTTCTGTTTTTATTTTAATTTAGCAAAAAAATAAAAAACCCAGTGGTGATTAAATACCACCAAAAGAAAGCTCCCTATCTGTCTTTAAAAACAAATGATAAAAATGTAATGTGGGTATGGTTTTGAATGATTGCTCAATTGTCATTCAAAGTGTGACAGTGCTGAAATCTGAAAATTGGAAGGGGGTAAAAGTGCCTGGTATTGAAGTGGTTAAAGTCAATTTCCATTTTTGCAACCAAATTCATATAATACCTACTTTTTAGATTTGCTACATGTTCCCATTAACATGGCATAGCTGGGAAAAAACGTATTTAATAATTGCTGGTTACCTTTTTACGTACTTTTTGCATGCTTAAAAATCCTACCAAGCTCTCTCTGCTTTATAAAGTTTGGGAGGGAGCTGCGGAGTAATGTTTACCTTAATCTTGCCTGTACAATGTTGGCAGAGCCTCAGTATTCGTTTAAACTAGATTTGAACACTGCTAGGAAAAGGTTAAACATGTGAAAGCTGGCACTACATTTTATGTTGGTGCCATTTTTTTGGTATGCTTTGTGAATTGGGAACACAGAACATACTTTTATAGTAGGGTTTCCTCAAATTTGACTACAAAAGTGGAATTGCACATCAAGAGCAATGTGAACCGTTCACTGTAATGGGCACAAAATGTCAGATTTCGGGTCGACTTTGACCTCTATCTTAGCCGATTATTTGCACTGAAAGTAAAGAAAAATAAGGGGCAAAGCAAAGTTTTTGTTTAACTCTGCAGTTACAATAATTTGTACTTTCGAAGAATGAACTTCTCTTATTTGCTTTCCTTTGGTCTGTTTAAATATTCCATTGAAAGCATTTTGGAAAATCTGTTGAGTGCAAAAAAAAAAACTGGGTTGATTCAGCCATACATCTTGTGCTGTCCTTTGCACACTTTGCGATTATTTTAAGGTTTCTTTCCATTTGTTATCTTGGACTACACAACAACTCTCTTGTCAAGGGGGGGGGGGAGAAATTCGGTAGTTCAACAAAAGATGACCATGCAGAGTTTGACACCATTTCTTGCAATTTCAGTGCAGAAAAAGGCATGTTTTGTCAGCTTGTAACAGAAATTATGAACTGAGACCATTTCTGGCAATTTAATGGGTAGCTTTCTGTACTTGCAGGGCATTCAAAGGGGAAAACATGGAAGAATGTGCATTTACTGCTTTTTTTTTTATTATTTTTTTTTTCCGGATATACACTTAAATATTACACTGATAATTAAGATTCTTCAATAAACCCAGTATCAATAAGTTCTCAAAGTTGCATGATATAGAACACCAAGAACTTACTTTGTAATACAATTCCATAGGGATATTATAGTAAATGTATATTCCATGTAGATAAAAGGTTAATGTACAATCTTATGCGCCTCCAGACTTGGTGTGGACGTAAGCCCTGTTTGCTGGAAAAACGTCTTGATAAGAACCAGTGTCCCCAGGATCAGGAATGTGAGCCAAAGATCTCATCAGCAAAATGCTTCCAACCACCATGCAGAGAATGGGGGGAATGCAGCGCCCCTGACAGGCCTCACATCGTCAAATGCTTGCCCAACACTGGCTATCTGGACAATAACTGTGCCCGAATAACCCTGATCTTCAGTACTGAGAAAATTCCACAGGTAAATCCCTCCTTTAGATTTTTTTATTTCTGCTATGTAAAGCTATTGGTTTATGATTAAAATATTGACCTTCAGTTAATTTAATAGCACAGTGCTGCAGCAAAGTTCTGGCTAAAAGCCAAGTACTCAATAGGTAACATGCTTTACTCTGCTGAAGGGTAAATTTTCTGATTGGTCAAGTTACACTTTGTCTACAGCATAGGCCATTTTAATATAAAATAAACCCTAATATCTAAGGGGGTTAATTGGAGGACACAAGCCATTGGAAAGACTCAGGATCTTAAGCTCGGAGATTGCTTGCAGCCCCTTTGCAACGGACCATTTTAAAGTTTACTGGAGTTGGGTTTTAACTGTAGCAGAGAAAAATCAGGTCTCATGCCAGACAGGAGTGTCCTCTGTGGAAGTGCTGCTTAATCTGAAAGGCCAGAAATTCTAATCCTTTGGCAGATAAAAAAAAAATAAAAAATTATATATGTATTCCATGGCTTTATTTAGCGGTTTGCTTGGAATTTAGCTGTATAAAAGTTCACTTACAGTCTAAAGAAAATCTTCATAAGTTAAAGGCAATTGCTGTTGTTAAAATGGGTTAATAATGACTTCCTATATCTTTCAAGGGAACCACAGTGGAAAACATTTGCTCGGAGATCCGATATTTGCCATCAATTAGGACAGTATCCAAAGACCAACAACTTATACTCTTGTGCGACTTCTCATACTCAACGGAAAAAGCAGTAGAAGTTGCAGTAGTAAGTATGCTTTTAGTCCGTGAAAAGTTGACTGCACTATTTTATGAATTTACAGACACTAAGGTTTCTGTTTTGCCTATTGTATGTATGTAGCTTTCAATGTTCATTAACCTCCCTGGTGGTTTTCCCGAGTGTAGCTCGGGGTAGAATTTCTATACCACAAGCGGTAACCCCGAGCTACACTCGGGCTTACCATGCGGCGCTGCTCTGGGGGTCCCTGCAGCACTTACCTTGTCCTCGTTCCCACAATGTGTCCCCTGCAGCGTCCCCGGCCATCTCCTCCGGCCAATGCCGGCATCCGGCTTCTGTGTTCCGGTCCCCGTGACGTCGGGACGTACAGGCGCCGCCGGCGGCGGGAAATTTAAAAAATGTCATTTTTTTTTTTTTTCAATTTTAAATAGTAAAACATTGCTGTTTCATCCCATTTCACATACATATTGTCCCTAGTGCTTTGTCCTGTGCCCTGCCTGCATTTTGTCTGTTCTTTCTGCCTGGAAACTTAGAAAAGTCCATGGCGTCCAAAAAGCGTCCCTTTACGTCAAAAGCGGTTTTAGACCGGCTAGAGAACAGCGATAGTAAATCAGAACCACTTACAGAATTGAGTGATAATGATTTGTGGGGAAATTTTCCTAAAAATTACAGCCTACAATAAAAAACTATTTCCATGCGAAAAAATGGTACCGCTTTCAGCACAAAAAATCGGAAGGAATCATACCGCTAGGGAGGTTAAACTGGAGTTAAAGTGAACCTGTGCCCAGACGTTTTGCACTAAAGCATTTATCTATTCTAAATAGCAGTAAAACACTTTAATGAAAAACCTGATTCACTACTGTAGTTATAAGCATTGTGGGAGGAATTTGTGTTCAAGGTTCACAACAGAGGCACTACAATCTTGGCTTCCTTAATTGAAGGTCTTGGCAGCCTACCTACCTTCTGTTCTGTTCTAAAGAGCCAACAGGAGTTTCTAAGCTCTTAAAAGCTGACTGAGTCATTGTGATTTTTGAGTGTCTTGAGGGCAAATTACTTCAAACTACAAGCAGCTAGAGAGGTCAGGAAAACTGTTACTGCTTGTTAAGAATATTAATACTAATAATTGTCATAGTCTGAGCACAGGTCCACTTTAAGTGCAGACGAGTAACCAATGGCAGTCAACTAGAATTCTCTTTACTAAAGCCATGATTTTTCTACAGGTAATGCATTTTTCACCTGTTTATTTTATTAAAGGCCAACAGGACGTTCTTTTAAAAGAGAAGTTCACCTTTAGTAACATGTTATACCCATATTTAGGATGTAACCTGTTACTAAATGAGCAGCCCCCTGCAGAAGCCTTTCATTGCATCTGCAAACTGCTGATTGTGGGTACAGTGCTTTATGGACTCCTAATAAAAAATGTGAATGTATTTATATATATATATATTTTTTTTTTTATCTGTAAAAACAAAAAAGGTGAACTTCTCCTTTAAGTGCTGTTTGCATACCATAGATGCATAATTGTGTATACAATTTAAAAAAAATAAATAAATCGTGCATTTCAGTTTATCTGAAAATGTAGGAAAACAGATTTCATACTGACATTTCTAGAATAGAGAGTTGTGCCATGTGTTATATCAGGTTGTGTGCTTTTCTTGCAGGCATTTGTGTCACAAACGGATAGTCAAGACAAGAGCCTTATTCAAGATGCTGCCAATACAATCGTCAATGCCATCACCAAAAGGCAAAACAGTACGGTCATGCAGGCCATCGTGGAAGTAAAAGTTGAAACCGTTGTAGTGGATGGCTCAAGTTCGGGTAGGTAACATCTATTTGCCTACAGTACTTTGTTATGGGAGAAGATTTAATTTCAACTATATCTGGTGATGATCACCTCCTGTCCGTAGATATTGCACATGAATAGATTGATGGCCAATAGTCAAAGAAAAAAAGGGATATAATTACTACTGCTATATTCTGTAAACATTTTCCAATGGTCAACGTATAACCTTTTTAGGCAACTGGTACTCTTCTAATTTTTATGAGCAAAATTTAACTCGTTGTGTGCCAAGGAAATAGAGAATTGTAATCCATATTTTTACTTAAACATCAACTCTGTGCCTCCCATCCCAAAACTGGTAATTCAGAATTTAGTAAACACAGAGGGGTTGACTTGCTCTTGATTGCCCAAAATGCTTTTATATCGGTAGAAGTATGTGGATACTGCTACAAACGGAGTTCAGATCCACAAACCCAGGTCCATAAAGACATGGCTTGACCAGTTCAGGGTGAAGGAACTCTAGTAGCTTTCAGTGGTACTAAAAACATTTTCGAATAGTTACATTTAGGCCTTTAAAGTTGCAGTAAACTCCCACTGGACACTTGTACCTACAGGAAAGCCTATAATAAAGCTTACTTGTAGGTACAAGGAACATCTCCTAAACAATCACAGTTTAGAAGATATTCAATGTTCCTGCAGCCGGTGACGTCACCGGTGCATGTTCTCTGAAGGAACAGCATACTCGTGCCAGTCCTTCAGAGCTCTGTGCCATGGGCGTGACGTCATCGTGGCTCGGCCAGTCAAGCAACCAGAGCCCTTAAACCTGGAAGGAAGACTGGGTGAAGACGGAAGTCTTAGCGGTGACAGTGCGCCGCTGGAGGGCTTCATAACTAAGGGGAGTCTTTCATAATGTGCTGGTTACCGATGCATACTAGCACATTATGACATTACCTTACAGCAGTGCTTCTCAAAATAGTGGGGCGCGCCCCCCAGGGGGGTGTGAGGCTCCGTCAAGGGGGGCGCGTACAGGGGTGGGCAGAGGGCTGCTGTCTCTTACCTGGCTCCCACGATGATCCATCCAGGAAGCGCTGCTCCTTCCGTCACTCCTGCCGCTCGGCTCCGCCTCCTCACCGGTGATTGGACGCCAGAACTGTAGCTCAGGAAAGGTACACAGGCGGCCAATCACGGGCGAGGAGGCGGAGCTGAGCGGACCCGCGAAAATCGAGTGAGGGAAAAGCGGTAAGTGTGCAGTGCAGAGGTGCTGCTGCAACCACATATGCTGGCTGCAGCAGCACCATACTGCAACAGGGGTCAGCAAGTGTCATTGGTGTCAGTGGGAGGAATAGTGCCGCATCATTGGTGTCACTGATACTAATGATGGGGCATTATTCCTCCCACTGACACCAATGATGGGGCACTATTCCTCCCACTGACACCAACGATGGGGCACTATTCCTCCCACTGACACCAACGATGGGGCACTATTCCTCCCACTGACACCAACGATGGGGCACTATTCCTCCCACTGACACCAACGATGGGGCACTATTCCTCCCACTGACACCAACGATGGGGCACTATTCCTCCCACTGACACCAACGATGGGGCACTATTCCTCCCACTGACACCAACGATGGGGCACTATTCCTCCCACTGACACCAACGATGGGGCACTATTCCTCCCACTGACACCAACGATGGGGCACTATTCCTCCCACTGACACCAACGATGGGGCACTATTCCTCCCACTGACACCAACGATGGGGCACTATTCCTCCCACTGACACCAACGATGGGGCACTATTCCTCCCACTGACACCAACGATGGGGCACTATTCCTCCCACTGACACCAACGATGGGGCACTATTCCTCCCACTGACACCAACGATGGGGCACTATTCCTCCCACTGACACCAACGATGGGGCACTATTCCTCCCACTGACACCAACGATGGGGCACTATTCCTCCCACTGACACCAACGATGGGGCACTATTCCTCCCACTGACACCAACGATGGGGCACTATTCCTCCCACTGACACCAACGATGGGGCACTATTCCTCCCACTGACACCAACGATGGGGCACTATTCCTCCCACTGACACCAACGATGGGGCACTATTCCTCCCACTGACACCAACGATGGGGCACTATTCCTCCCACTGACACCAACGATGGGGCACTATTCCTCCCACTGACACCAACGATGGGGCACTATTCCTCCCACTGACACCAACGATGGGGCACTATTCCTCCCACTGACACCAACGATGGGGCACTATTCCTCCCACTGACACCAACGATGGGGCACTATTCCTCCCACTGACACCAACGATGGGGCACTATTCCTCCCACTGACACCAACGATGGGGCACTATTCCTCCCACTGACACCAACGATGGGGCACTATTCCTCCCACTGACACCAACGATGGGGCACTATTCCTCCCACTGACACCAACGATGGGGCACTATTCCTCCCACTGACACCAACGATGGGGCACTATTCCTCCCACTGACACCAACGATGGGGCACTATTCCTCCCACTGACACCAACGATGGGGCACTATTCCTCCCACTGACACCAACGATGGGGCACTATTCCTCCCACTGACACCAACGATGGGGCACTATTCCTCCCACTGACACCAACGATGGGGCACTATTCCTCCCACTGACACCAACGATGGGGCACTATTCCTCCCACTGACACCAACGATGGGGCACTATTCCTCCCACTGACACCAACGATGGGGCACTATTCCTCCCACTGACACCAACGATGGGGCACTATTCCTCCCACTGACACCAACGATGGGGCACTATTCCTCCCACTGACACCAACGATGGGGCACTATTCCTCCTTCTAACAATTTTATAGACAAATGATACTATTTACAGTCGCGCCGGGGGGGGGGGGGGGGGGGGGGGCGCGCGCAAAATGTTTTCTTCTTCCTGGGGGGGCATGACAGAAAATAATTGAGAAGCACTGCCTTACAGGGAGAATATATTTAATTTTTTATTTAATTTTTTTTTTCTTAAGTCAAGTTTACTACTGCTTTAGTGAATCTGTTTAGATTTTTTTTTTTTTTTTTTTTTTTTAAACCATGCATCCTGTACATTTTTTTGGCTGCTAAGTGCGGGTCACGTGATTCCCTAGTGTTTCATGGAACTGCTGGTGGGTACATAGAGTGGCTAACAGCTGCTTCATATAGCTGCTGCTCCTCCTTTTTGTGATGTCAGAAGTGTCTACCCCACTGTATACATGCCCACCAGCTGGGCCATGAATCACTCAGGAATAAACTGTGATCGTGTGGAACGGGGCAGACGTGTTTGGGAGGCATCTTTACAAAGAGGAGAGCTGGAGAGGAAGCCGCTGTCAGTCAAGTCTGCAGGGGTGTATAGTTTACACTGACTTCAGAAGATGCAGGCACACCGTGCAACTGCACAGCATGCCTTTTAAGTGTAGGATGACAATGAATGTAGTGAAAAAAAATTAAACCAGTGCTCAAATCTTTATGCTGACTGGGCAGGGGTACTGTAACTGTCAATCTCTGAGGTGCAGCCCTTGGAAGATTGGGAAACCTTGGTACGGGTCAAGAAAAACGAAAAACAGGGCTCACTCCCTTCGTGCATTACCGTGGTGAAGCATGAGTTTATTAAAATGCTAAAAGTGCATACTCACAAACAAAGGAGATATAAAAACAGAGACAGCCAGTGGGATTGGTCCCAAATTCCAGGCTACCCTGAATGTGGTTAGCTGACACGTTTAGGGAGACGTTCTCCCTCCTTCAAAGCTCAATGACCATGGATGTAAACTGACCACACTAACATGGATCGGCTTCCATACTTGGCATGGTCCGCTTACTATCCGGAAGAGGAGCACATGCAGGATCAACCAGGTAATGGAGAACAGGAAGCACTTATAACAAAAGCAGTATGAATCAAGTACAAATACATTAATGATACAGTAAAATGTTTTTTTTATTTGATTTACAAACACTTTAACTCTAGAGATTTAGACCCCATATATGTAGAGCATACAAATACACTGAACTTCTGTCCTGGCCAATAAAAAATTCTCCAAATTGCATCTGTCTTCAATTTATTTTCTTTTTAATTGTAGATTACCTTGTCCCAGTTCTTTGTGTGGTGTTTGGAATCGTTTGGGTGACGTGCATAATCATTTGTGTCTGGTGGATGCGTAAGCGAAGAAAAGAGCGAGAGAGAAGGCGGGAAAGCCGCGAAGATGAAACCAACAACCAACGTCAGCCTTTAAACCCAATATGGAACCCAATTGGGGTGCCTTATAGAGACATTCAGTATGAATGCAAAAACCTTCTTTACAACCAAAACAGAACTTCTGCCTCTGATGAGGCCATGAAGGAGGATGTAGTGGATAAAGAGGAGGACACAGGGGAGGATGAGTGCCTCTCACAAAAATACTCAAAGACTTCTATAAGCATAGGAGATGCAGACTGCTCCCAAAAATTCCCCTGTAAAAAAACCACATCGGACAGACTATGACAAAAAGGTTAACACCTGTGTTAAAAATGTGAATGCACCCCACTGAAGGAAAGGGAAGCCGGAGCTGTAGACAAAGGACATTGTGCCTATTCTAGGAATAAGACGCGGAGTGACAGAATTCATCTCCAATAATCAAAACTGGTCCTTCCACCACTACCCGGGGTCTTTGGCTTCTTGGCTAGCAATACCCACCAAAGCCCTCTCTTCATCTGGACGTACAGTTCCGGACTAAAATCTGGACTCTGTTAATTTTGTTATGTAAAAAAAAGTTATTTTTTTCTATTTGTTGCTGTAGTATTTCTACATAAATTATTTGTGACAACTAAAAGACAAAAAGAAATGTTCTTTGATAGTTGCTATTTTTATAAGTTTGCTTTAAGTCCTCTTTAAGTCAAGAGGAGACAAAGGTTATCTGTATTTTGTTTCCTTTTTATCATGTAAAAGTTATGTTTACAAGCTGTGCTTTTTTTTTCCATTTTTTTGCTTATAATTTAAGAACAGCGTCCAACCCCTTTTCAGTTTGAGAGAAGGAAGTAGTTTTAATTTTTTTTTTTTTTTTTTTTTTTAAATCTCTCTTGAGCTGACTGTTGTCTTTTGTCCAATAAATGCAGTGTTTCCGCTTTGTCCAGACAAAGTGGTGTAGATGTCTATGCCCTGCTAGCACTCCACTCTTTGCTTCTAGTATTGGTTTCGGAAGATTTTTGCCTTATGGGTCTTTTTAACAGGAACAATATTAATGCAAATCCAAGACCCCTGAATTGTGGCTTAAGTGTCCTTTTTTTATTTTTAGTTTATTTTTATTGTATTTTTTTATTTTAGGATTGCAGTATTGATGTATGTGACAAGTGCCTTGAGATTAAACTTTTTCTATAGCAACTGTCAAAGACTACTTTCTGCTTTTCAAAAAAAAAATATATATAAGCAGATTCCTAGGGTCCTGTCCATAGAGACATTTATTTTCTATTGTAAACATATGTTTTTGTAAATATGTATATATTAAAGGAATCGCTCTGTATATTTGATTTATTAACAATATTTTGGAATTTCTTTGTTCTTTACAATGCCATTCCTTTTTAATTTATGTTGCAGAAGGTAGGTTTTATGACTGACGGAGACTTTTTTTTTTTTTTTTTTTTTTTTTATTTGTTGTCCAGATTCAGAAAGGAAAGTTATTATAATCTGTGTGAGACATTTGGTCAGCTTGTACCTACATTGTGACCTGGCATAGATATGTGTAAATAGTATATAGACATGTTCACAAGCCCTTGTTCTGGTTTATAAAGATCTGTTGGCTTCAATCAAACATAAAATGTCCGTGATGCCAAACGTCAAAATTTGTATTTTTTTTTTTTTTTTTTTTTCTTTTCTTGAAAGTTTCTTAGAAAGTAGTATTACATAATGTTCTTTTGTTCGTTAAATCAAAGGCTTGATGAAGGGAACAATTTTTTCCTTTTTTTTATTTTATTTTTATTTAAATAATTTTTTTTTTTTTTTTTGCTCTTTTTCTGCTCCAACTAAAGGTCGGTAAACTCAAGATTGAATTACCTCACTAAAAAATAGTTATTGGAATGTAAAGCTTGAGCATTTATTTTTGTATTTTTTTTTTTTTTTTTTTTTTTTATCTTAAAGGCTTTACGGTTTTCAAAAGGGCAAGTGGGAAAATGGCTTGTTTTACTCTCCCCCCCAACATGCTATATAAACATCCAGACAGTTAACGCCACTAGAGTAGGTGGTAATCTGAAGGTGTAAACATTTGGCCAATGAACATGGATGCTTGAAAATAATTTTATACCACAATGCCGGAATCGCTTAGCAGGATGTTAGTTATGTTTAGTGCGTTTTTGTTTGACATGTTCTTAAAGTGGTTCAGAAAAAAAACTATTTATTAAAGCATTTTATAACTATGTTATAATGTTTTGCTTCTTTTATTTTTCTTTGTGCCGTTTAAATTTAATTTTTATATTTAAATTAAACATTATGTGAAAAAGCTGTATTGTTGAAGCTGGTTGTTTTTAAGTTTGCTGAAAATAGGATTTAAAATTAAAGGCATTTGCTTTTCCAAATGCTAGGATGCAGTAGCTTGCCAGTCTAGACATGGCTATTAGTCTTAAAGTATACAGTATGTAAACCCTCACCTTGTAAAACAACCCTTTCAGTTTAAAATAGAAATAAAAAGGCAAAGCATTTGTGGATAAAATTTAAAAAAAAAGGTTTTTTTTTAATGTTATCACTTTTTTATAAGTTGTCTCTGTTTCAGTTGCATAAGAGCTAGGGAAGGAGAAAAAGCAGTACATTGACCTTCCCGCACTGTGCTGGGGGAGGGGGGAGAGCCAACACGGAGTCTCTTGCCCCCTCACTAAGCTGACCTTATACTGCATTTTGCTTGTGTTCATTCAGCTCCACAGAATGGGGCTCAATGAACAATTAGCCAAGAAACCAGTACTGTTGCACATGATTCTGACTGCTTTGTAGCAGTGTGGTTGGAAAGTGGTGGTAACAATCCGACTGCTTTGTTTAGCAATGGCAGGACAGATTCTTACATGCTTTTGGTCCCCTGAGGCATTTAAATACGTTTTTAAAAATAAAAAATCTCACCAAACTTATTAAAACAAGAATTGTATATGGAGTTTTCATGCTCTCCCTTGGCCTGCATAGGTTTCCTCCCACACGCCAAAGACATGCTGGTATGTTAATTGGCTCCTGCCTTCATTGGCCCTAAAATGAGTATATATAAATGTGAGTTGGGGACCTTTGATTGTAAGCTCACTGAAGGCAGGGACTGATGTGAATGTAAAATATTACACTCTCCGGCCATTTTATTAGGTACACCTTGCTAGTGCCAAGAAAATATTCCCCACACCATTACACCAGCACCACCAACCTGAACCAATAATAGAAGGCAGGATGGATCCATGCTTTAATGTTTACCCCAAATTCTGACCCTACCATCTGAATGTTGCAGCGATCACTCTGCCCATTCTCCTCTGACAACAAGGCTTTTTCGTCTTCAACTGCCACTCACTGGATGTTTTCCATTTTTTTGGACCATTCTCTGTAAACCCTAGAGATAGTTGTGCGTGAAAAATCCCAGTAGATCAGCGGTTTTTGAAATACTCAGACCAGCCCTTCTGGCACCAACAATCATGCCTCATTCAAAGTCACTTAAATTCCCTTTCTTCCCCGTTCTTATGCTCAGTTTGAACTTCAAGTAATTTTCACCACGTCTACATGCCTAAATGCATTGAGTTACTGCCATGTGATTGGCTGGTTAGCAATTTGTTACAAACAATTGAACAGGTGTACCAACTAAAGTAGCTGGTGAGTGCACAATACTGTGCAAAATAATTAGGCAAGTGTGAAGAAATGCTTCTAGGTGCTGAAGGAACTTGGCAGGTAGGTTGTTCTAAACATCCTGGAGAACCACAGATCTGTGGATGTAGGCTGCCTCCCCTCTTTCTGTGTCTTCATGTAATCCCAGAAAGACTCAATGCTGAGATCAAGGCTCTGTGGGAGCAAAACAATCAATTCCAGGACTCCTTGTTCTCATTTACGTTGAAGATGGTCCCTAATGACATTTAGCTGTATGTTTGGGGTTGTTTTCCTGCTGCAGAGTAAATTTGGGGCTAATCGCACACCTCCCTGATGGTAAGAAATGATGTATCTGCCTGTATTTCTCAGCATCAAGGACATCATTGATCGGACAATGTTGAGGACCATAAATGCAATGGGTGGCCAAAAAAACCTAATGCAGTAGATGATACTCATGCTTACTTCCCTTTGACATTGGTAGATGTCCAGCAAGTGCCATCAGCGCAGAATTGACAGAAACCAGTAGGACCCAGGTACACTCATTTACTGTCTGGGCAGAAGTGGTCTTCATGGAAGAATTATGCTCAAAAAGCCATACCTCTGACGTGGAAACAAGGCTAAGTGATTCAACTATGAGGGAAAACAGGAACTGTGGTGCAGAAAAATGGCAGCAGGTGCTCTGGTCTGAGGAGTCAACATTTTAAATATCTGTAGCAGAAGGCAGTTTGTTAGCCAAAGGGATGGAGAAGAATGGTACAAGAATGAGTGTCTGCTTGCAACAGTGAAGCATAATGGAAGTTCCTTGCAAGTGTGGGGTTGCATATGGAGTTAGAGATTTGGTCAGGATCAATGGTTTCCTCAATGCTGAGAAATCTGGGCAGATACTTATCCATCCTGCCATACCATCAGGGAGGCATGATTCAGCAGCAGGACAGTGATCCCGAACATACAGCCAATGTCCTTAAGAATGGTCTTCAGAGTAAAGAGCAAGGAGTCCTGGAAGTGATTGACCCCTACAGAGCCCTGATCTCAGCATAGAGTCTGGGATTCCATAAAGAGACAGAAGGATTTGAGGCAGCTTACATCCACAGAAGATTTGTGGTTTGTTCTCAAAGATGTTTAGAACAACCTACTTGCAGAGTTCCTTCTAAAACTGTGCAAAACCATTGTGTGTACCTAGAAGAATTGATGCTGGTTTGAAGCCAAAGGGTAGTCACACCAAATACTGATTTGTATTTCGCTTCTGTTAAGTTTATTTTCAACAAAATGGAAAGTAAATTAACACTTCTATTTCCGATAGTAATTTTAATTTACAGCATTTATTTCACACCTGCCTAAAACTTTGCACAGTACTGTATATGTAAAGAGCTGCAAAAATTGATGGTGCTACAGTGCCTTGAAAAAGTATTCATACCTCTTAAACTGTTCCACATTTTGTCATATTACAACCAAAAACAAATGTGTTTTATTGGGATTTTATGTGATCAACACAAAGTGGCACATAATTGTGACATGGAAGGAAATAGTTATTTGTAAAAAAAAAATTGAAAACCATTTATCTATCTGAAAATTGTGGCATGCATTTGTATTCAGCCCCCTTTACTCTGATAACCCTAACTAAAATCTAGTGGAGCCAATTGCCTTTAGAAGTCACCTAATTAGTAAATCGAGTACACCTGTGTGAAATTTAA